AGATTAATTGGTCCATCATCTTTAAACTCAGATTCACACAAAGTTTCAGGGCATGGACAAAATATAGGCATGATCTTTGCCATAATGTGACATGAAAGGCTTCTAGTCCAATTCTCAATGGAGTTCTCACTTTTTATCTGAAAGCTCATGAGCACAACCTTTACTGTTTGTATCCATAGCACTATTCTGGTCTTCTGAGTTCACATTAGAATTGTCCATTAAGTTCTTCTTATAACATTTTAGGGATTCTCTATTCTGCATCTCTAAACCTTTCCAAATTTCTCCCACATACCAGTTCCAAAGGCTCCTGAACCACATCATCAATTGCAGTCACAGCAGTGATACTACTTCTGGTACCAATTTTCTGTGTTAGTCAGCTTTTTATCACAGTGACTTGAGAAAAACCAACTTAAGGGGGAAGAATTATTCTGACTCATGGTTTTACAGGTTTCAGTCCATGGGTGGTGGCTGGCTGCTTTGCTTTTAGGCCTGTTGTGAGACAGAATATCATGGGAGGGGATACATGATATAACAAAGCTCCTCATATCATTGCCAAGAAGTATATAAAAATGAGAAAAGGTCCAGAAACAAAATAAAACCTTCAAAGACACATACCCAGTGACCCAGGTATTCCAGAGAGGTCCAGCCTCTAAAGGTCTCAATCACTTCCCTGTAGTGTCATCAGCTGGGGACAAGTCTTCAAGAAATAAGCCTTTGGGGGAACATTCCAGATCCAAGCTATAACAATCTAGAAGTAAGACTAAGATATTATTAGGAAAGATATTACCCATTAGGGAAGGGGAATGACACAGCACAGTTGGGAAGCAGTTTTTTTTGGGAAAAATAAAGCCATTTCATGCTTGTACCCAAAGAGCTGAGATGCACTAAAAAATATAAATATTCCTTTTCTGACCTAATGGAAAGCTAAGTGGAAACTTTAAAAAGTGACATTGAATGGTGATGATTCACTTAGCTTGGATTCTTAGCAAATTTTCCCAAAACCTTTAAGAACCGTTTTCTTGTTTCTAAAGCCTGGAGTATTAAAATAGCAAATAAACAATGGAAGAGGGAATTTGAGCTGAGTAGGTTGGGCTGCAGCTGAATGCTTCATCATATTTTCCATTAAAAATCACAATTTGTAGTCAATTTAATACCACAGAGAGAAACGCTAGAGGAATGCTTAATGTTTCACGCTTAACTGGAACCAAAATTCAATGATTTCCCATTAATAATAATTCTATCTCTGCCATCAGCTTGGAGCACTTTGTCACCACCCTTTCTCATTTTCCCTTTGCAGATGCTCCTGAGTTTGGATATCCTTGTAAATGCTGGGATTCCTAATGAAAAGGACCCCAATATCTTCAGGGCAGTATTTGTACCAAATAGAGGCCAGCAAACCGGGATGTTTTGAAGTGGCTAAGGCTTCTAGTGAAGCAGGAAATTAACATTAAAAGCCTATGCAGGGGTGGGGATGTGGCTCAGGCGGTAACGCACTCTCCTGGCATGTGTGCGGCCCGGGTTCGACCCTCAGCACCACATACAAACAAGGATGTTGTGTCTGCCGAAGACTGAAAAATAAATATTGAAATTCTCTCTCTCTCAAAAAAAAAAAAAAAAACTTTAAAAAAGCCTATGCAGAGGCCCAACAGACACTCCTTGTGTTGCAATTAGAAAATCCAGGTATTCAGAAATCCAGATGTTCTTGTTTGTCCACCTCAACCCTCTCCAGATTCTGCAAAAAGCTACTCTTCATTTTTAGAACTTCAACAGCTCCTTCAGAAAGTCTAAGGACTGGTTGAAGGAAAAAAAAGGAAGCCAAGGGCAATAAACTCAGCTCCTCTCTAGGAGACGAATCCTCTGAATTCCCCAAGCAAAGGGGAGACTGGAATTCATAAAAGTAGGATATGGAGCCAGGGATCTCAAGTTAAAGACAAATGGGTGTGTGTCCGAGCTACTTTCAGGATTAAATCTATTATGGCAGCAATGTGCAGAGCTTACTTTGAGTACTTTGGGTGTGCGTACATGTACACATCAACACACACCCGGCTCACAGTGCGAAGTTGTGTGGCTAACATTATAAGAAATAGACATCAATCCTCTTTTCTCTTTGTTCTAAAAAGAGATGGCCTGTGTAACCAGGAAAATGGTCCAAACACTCAGTCCAAAGAACTAAGACAGGGCAATTGGATTTACACAGTTTCCTTTGACCTTTTATTGCTATTTGGCAATTCTATCCTTAACTTTTTCTCTCCCAAATCTTCTCCCTATGTTACAATGACAAAGTCAATATTCACCTAGGTTTGTAGCTGACTTTCCCATATATTCCTTAATTCTAGTGACTCCGTGATAAATTATTGCTATCATATGCCTGGTCAGATTGATCAGAACAGCAACCTTACACATCTGTGGAAATTAAAAGCAGAGAGACAAGGCCAGGAAACATTGATTTCTCCCTCATCAGAAATGCCTCCTGACTTTTCTCAATTGCTGCCCTGTGTAGACCAGCACTGGGTGTTTGATGATGATCTAAGGACAACCAAGACCTTGACATTATTCCAATGTTACCTCAAGCTTGAGATTCACCAGTGTGAGCACAAGCCCTTTTGTAAAAGTTGTACTTTGGATAAATATCACATTTCTCCTCTCATTTAAAAGAGAGGTTTTGGGGGGCTGTGGTTGTGGCTCAGTGGTAAAGTGTGTGCCTTGCATGTATGAGGTACTGGGTTCTATCCTCAGCACCACATATAAATATATAAAGTTATTGTGTCCATCTACAACTAAAAAAGAAAATAAAAAATAAAAGAGCGAGGTTTTTGGATCATTTGTACTTTTGGAAGTTCCACAAATAAGAATGGTAGGCTAATGAAGAAAGAAAAAAAGAAAAAAAAAAAAAGGAACAAATCCAAAAGGAGATTCCTGCCATAGAGCCTCATCTAGATGTCAAGAATGGTACAGCTGTGGGGACACATGGATGCATGTCAAACTGTCAGGGACAGAAGAGATGACAAGGCTAATTCATTGTGAAGATACAAAGGCAAAGACATAAAGCCAGGAGCATAATGCTTGGGGGTACAGCAATCCTCTAAGACTATCTGCCAACGTTATATGTGACTTCAACAAAGTTTTTAGAGGAAATAAGCAATTCTTGTCACAGCACAAGAGGTCTGTTGTTCTTAAAAAGAGTTCTAAGTTCTCCTTGGGTCTGGCTTTCTCCTAAAGTCTTTCTTCCTGTCACCCCGGCCTCTGATCTTGTCAGACTGGGCCAGCATCACTTTCCCTTAGAGTTCAGTTTTCCACGGTCCTCCTTTCTTTTCTCTCAGTTAAGAAAATACAGAGTTTGAGGAAGAGAATATTGCCTGTCGGAATTTCTAGGCACTCCCTGGGACTCATCTTAATGAGGTGCCACCAAGAGATGGTGTCCTTGTTTAGTTTTGTCCTGTATTAGTTGTGCTTTTCTGGAAGAACCACCATTTCTGTCATTTTGCTGTACAAAAGAATTTCTTCTTCCATAGAAGAGTTGATGAAAATTGCTTCCCCCATTACCACCCCACAGTGATATCAAACTTCTTAGGTATCAGGTCCTGGAGTCCTAACGAGATAATAGATATGTAAACTCATTTAACAGTATAGATATGTGTAGCTATCTGTATAGTCATTTGATAAATGTTAAAGAACTTGCTATTCCTCAAAAATTTCTAAAACTTTCTACTTTATCTTTCTTAAAGATCTTATTTTTTTCTTCATTGCAGTCAACTTTGTGCACATTCTAATGAGACTTGTATTGTTCAGGAGGTTGAAGTCTGGTTTATCTTGGTGGTTGTTAAGATGAAATTTTTCTAAACATAAATTAAAAAATAAACTCTTGAGGCTAATCATTTGAACATAGTTTCCATCAAAGATTATTTTTTACTTATATATTTGTCTGAAGATCTCAATTCCTAAGCTGTTTTTAATTAACCAGGGTAATCCAGATATGTGGTCACGTTTATATTTTTAAGTAGCTGGATCCCAAGAGAACACATTGTGATATCTTAATTTCATGTCTGATCCTTACATGGAAAATTCTATAAGGACAGGGATAGCTTCTGTTTATCATTACATCTCTTGCACCTTGTATTGGGCCCTGATACAGTAGGTGATTATAAATAGAAGCTGAATAAAATAAATGTTGATTAAGTAAATGGTGTTTTACAATACTCTTCACTTATTCTTAAAATTGGATGCAATTTGTGTCCTGTTTCCTTTCCTCAGTATCTTTGTATTTTAGGAAGAAATGTTCTGGTCAGTATAAGCATTGTTGGAAATAGCATTAAATAGGAACCAAGGAGAAATGAGTTCCTATCCTACTCCACCCCAAATCAACCTTATATTTGGCAAAAAGATTATGTTCAGATCTCATCAAACAAAGTTCAGGAAACTTGACAAAATTATTTTCAGTCTATAGATAGAATGTATTTGCCTCAAAACCCCTCTCTGGTTAAGTTCATAGAATGTCTACATCTTTTTTTTAATATGAAGAGAATTTTTTTGAATGATCAGATCTGTAGTTGCAACCTTAGTTGTGCATTGGGTTTTCTGGCATATTCAGAAAAGTGTCAAGTGGAAAAACTAACTTCCATTCATTTAGTCCTTTGCATTAGTAAGCTATGTGGTCTCAAGGACTTATTTCATTATTCTGATCTCCGGTTTCTTCTTCTGCAAATTGCAACTGAGTGAGTTTTCAATCATTTTTTTTCCCTGCTGTTGCCTTTTCCAACTCCACTGATGGCCACTGCCATCCTTCTTCTCCCCCGAGTATTTGTTTATTCAATGAATAGAACTGAGGACCTATAGCTACAAACACCTTGCTTGGTCTAGGAAGTAGTTGTGAAAAAAGCAACAGGCTCCCCGAATAAAGGCTATCATTTTCTTATTGTTCCCTTTCCTGGATTTGTGCTGAGAACCTGGGATATCAAATTAGGAGATGTACAGAGGAATAGAATAACCAGGATGAAGGATACATCTTCTTGGACAAGAGGAAAACTGTGAAGGAGCAGGTCCCACAAAGGAGGGTTGGAGAGAGCTGAGTCCACACAGGGTTCAAATTATAAGTCAGGTTTAGAAATTGTCATTTTCTCTTTCTTCTGAAAGTTTTTATTTTATTTATACTGCTTTCTTTTGTTATACTTTCTGATATACCCATAATTCTTTCTACATTTTCACGGTGTAGTTCAGGAAGGCTTTATTTATATGGGTAAATGGTGTCACCTGAATCTAAATTGACCTAAATCCCTGTTGTTACTCAGTTAGTAGGAATATTTTGATAAATCAAAGTATTTTTATGATTTGTGGTGCCAGGTTAAATGCATAGAAAGTTTTAGTCAAGGAAATGATCTAGTGTTAGAATATCACCCTCTTCCACCAAAATCTATGAACTACTCCTCTATTGAAACCATTTCAACTTTGTACTACACACTAACATATTTTAGGATGAGTTGCTTCTCATTTTTTAAAAATATTTATTTTAGATGGATTTTACAACTTTTTAGGTGACTAATAAGAAAAATACTATTGGTATTTTGACTTGATATATTAACTATGGAGAACTGATACATTTATGATATTTATCTTTCTTTTAGAAACATGGTATATTTATTAATTTATACAAGTCTTCTTTTATAACTTCCAAGTGGAATTCACACTTTTACAAATTCTTGTACTTTAGTCTGATTAGTTCTATTCATGAATGTTCTCTCTTTTTTCCACTGCAAAGAGATAGTAGAAAGAAAAAGATATGTTTTAGACAGCTTGACAGAAAACATACTTTTCAAAATGTTTCAATTAGAGAAACTCAAAATATTTCTTTATCAAGGAATAAAAGGAATATTTTGAAAATATTTGTCCAACTTATTTAGACCTAACTTATCCAGCTAATATTTTGTCAGTTATATCTATTTAATATTCATTACTTTCTGAATTACACCCTGGGCAAGAAAAAAAATTACTTGAAATTTTAAGGAATATTTGTAAATAACATTGTGGAAATGGATGGGGCCTGTTGCAATGGTCATTTCCTTTTCATACTAGAAGTTCGCTTCTTTTCTTATACTTCAGTTGATTTTAATTAAACAAAGTCAATTAATGAAAGAGGGATAACTAACAAGGTATTTTTCAATGACTAAATGATAGTGGTTGCTTGTACTTTCAGGACACTCACTGGGGTGCGCACTTCACATATACTGACTTTGCATTCTCACAGTACCCTGATCACAGAAGTGTGAAGGGCTCATTTTAACAGCGAGGCACCATGTCCAAATCACCCAGTCTACATCTGCTCCTCTCCATCTGTCCAGCCTTGTAGGCGTCCACAGCAGGTACTGCCTCCCTCAAATAAAAACTAATCCAGTGGCCAGATTGAAGCATCTTCAAAGATGTTAGAAACCATTCCTAGAACTTTTTCTTTTTCAGGAAGCAGGAGCTCTACATTCTTTTAAAATGAGAGGTGCAAGAAACATCAATAGCTTCTGCAAGTATACCACATTTTTAAAGGGATTTAAAAAAAAATAACAGGAAATATAAACCTCCTCCTCCCCACTACCCCTACAGGTATGCATGTTCAAGTACATATGCTCACTCACACATACTCCATGCTGCATATCAGCTTTAAAAAAGACCTGGTTACTCTTCCAAAGTCAGAAGAATAAAATATTTGCACTTAAATGATTTTTAGTTTTCTTCTCTTAGAAACTAGCATAGTACATTGATTTAATATTTATTCAAAACAATTGTGTAAACATATTTTTTGAAGAGCTGAGAAGAATCCAAAGCCCTTTTAAAAGACTGAGTGTAACTCTCATACCTATTCCACTAAGGAACTCCAAAAAGTAATTAGTTTAGGAAAAATAATCATCATCATCCACTTCAGTTGTGTTAGAGTAGCAGGCCCAAGTGAAAGTGTGTGTGTGTGTGTATGTGTGTGTGTGTTTACTCACTTTTGTGGAACCAAGATGTTGAGTTTGGCCATGTCTAAATATTTCCCCTCAACCTTCCCTACTCAAATTATATTTCAGAAAATCAAGGTTCAGATCGTTTGCTTCTGTTGCAAAACTTACTACATAAGATTATAATTGCCCACCAACTGTTGCAAGCATTGAGAATACAAATGTGTGCTCCCGCTGAAGCTTGGGGACCTCTGCGGTCAGTTTTATATAACATATATAAGTTAATGTCTTATCATGTATTATAGCTGATAAATAGATACAAATTGACAAAATAGCTATTCAATTAGAAAAATATTTAATTTGCTATAATATGTTCAATGGTACTTTTGTAAAATATAGTAGACTCAGCAATTACTAAATTCAAATATTAGAATGACTGAGATTAAAATGATTGTATGAGACTAAGTTGATCAAATATTTTCAATGGAAATAGTTTGATGAACTAATTCATTCCTGTGATGATAAACATTTCGAGGTTTCCCCTACATAAAATACTGAGCAGTCTCCTCCTGATGGAAGGATTTGCCTCAAGGAGTGGGTAGTGTTCTTTAGCAAAAGTAAAGCAAACAAATAAAGCCACCTAAAATACAAGCACCTATTTTAGAAGGAAATACATGTTTGAGATGTTAAATGAGATGTTCAAGACACCTGTGCATAACATATGCCTATATTTTAAATGTATATACTATACATATATATACATATATAGATACATATGTAGATACATAATACATACATAAATACCCACATGTACACAAATTCCAGTTTCCTCTTTAAGAAGGGTACTATTTTGAGTCAGTAGATTGCTTTGCTAGTTGGAATTGCTAGGCAGAGAATACCAACTTCAAATCAGATTACATTTTTGCTTCATGCTGTATTTTCTTTCTTTCTCTAATGCTTAGTGAATCGAAGCACAAAAATATAAGCCTCTTTCCTTTCCACCCTTTGCATTTTTCTTAAGAGAAAGATACATAGTTTAGGAACCAGTGCTTATACATGTCAACATAAAGTTATTAAGCAGAATAATATAATGAATGTAAATTCATAAATTGAATCAGTTGGTACAAATGAATCAGCAATACCTTAATTTCCTTCCTGTCTGTCTGCAGGTCTTTTTGGTTTTGGAGCCATAAACATCTCTGTGTTAGTGTTAGTGGAGCTGAACACACTAGCTGTTTTTCTTCAGGTTATATTAGAATTTATTAACATAGTGATTTATAAATGTTTCCCTAAAACACCAAAGCAATGCAGTTTTCTAAAAATAAATGTTGGTGATTGTATGAGAGTAATATTTGCACCTGCAGTACTGGTTATTCAATTGTTTTTTTATTCTAGAACCTCACAGGTGGGAGTCCATTTAGATGAGTTTATGACACACTAGTTGTCTTTGAAACATAAATAGAAACTATTGTGTGGTCTTCCACAGAAGCTGCTTTACAAGGAGTCAGACGGGGCTGGTGCAGCCCTCTTTCTGCTGCCCACCCCTGGGGCAGTCACTTTTTCTTTGCTTGTCTCTTTTTGCTGCCTAGGCCACACAAGTTCCATCTGGAACATCAGTAGTTCTCTTAACATACTCTGTAAGGACAGAAAGAGAACCCAGGGAATTTTGTGAACATCCAAAACAATCTCACCAGAGCTTGCTGCCAGACTATATTTTTATAAAGAAAAAAGGAAACAGAATACCTTACCTATATTTTCCAGAACTTCTGTTGTGTGCAGGGAGTACAACTCCTAATTTTTGTATTCAAAATAAAGGTATCTTCAGAAATCTGGAAAGAGAGGACTGAGTTTGAGAAATCAGCAATAACAAGTATATTCTGTTCTTATTTTAGTATAGCTAGAATTTCAATAGAAAAAAATTTTAATGTAAAATTAGATGATTTTGGAAGGTGAGTCTTTGATCTTTCCTTTGCTCCTGGACCAACCTGACTGAGGCCTGCATAGAGCTGATGTACATCGCTTCTGCGGAAACAGTGAACAGTCAGTGAATGTGAGAACAGGGGTATTCCGCCAGACCCATCGGCCCAACTATGACACACTTGCTCCTCTCTGTTTCTCTCACTCTGCACACTTCCTTAGAGTTTGCATGACAATATCCTTGCTCTGCCACACTGCTTTGCAGTAGCGTATCCTCATGGCTGGCTTTGCCTTCCCTCACCTGTGAACACACTGAGGGCCCAGACACCTTTTTAATGTTCTGTATCTTTTGGATGTCCACCATAGTAGAGCCCATAGATGGTGCTTGCTAAATGCATGTTGAATGAATGAATGCATGAATGAATGAATGAAGAGAATCACTAGGCATATTGTCTTTCTCCAGTATTGGGAAGGGCAAAAATCACCACTTTGCCTTGAGTCACTTCCTGACAGAGCTTAGCTTTCAGGTATGGTTGTAAAGGATGGCATGGATTTATTGTACTAGCCTGGGGTCTCAAGTTTGATCTCTGATCACAGAGCCACTGAGGTGGAAAGAGCATAGCTGTGAGCTGCAACAGGGTGTAATTTGTCATGTCATCTGTAGACCCTCTCTAAGGAAGTGCCATTGACTAGAGATGCTGATGCTCAGAAGATAGTGTGACATGTGACAAGATCACAGGATGCACAGCCACAAAGATCCCACTTACCTCTAAAATATTGACACCCTCTTTGGGTCTCTATTTCCCTCTCTCCAAAATGCGGGGTATGTCTACCTCATAGGGCTGGTATAAGGATGGGCAGGAATGATACATATATAGCATATTCCTATCCCAAAGCCTTTCAATAAAAGATAATTATAATGCTATATTGTGCAATATGCCAAATTGATGTTATGTGATACATATTGTCACCATTTGTCTGGAATGTTGCTAGATTGCATCATGAAGATGGTTCTTTGGGTTAAAATACCAGTGGAACAGAACTTCATTTGAAATAAACATCGACCAAGGAACACCTGTTTCCCAGAGCTATCGTTACTGCTTGAACCAGTGTTTTAGTCACCTTTTTGGCCACTGTTACCAAAAGATCTGAAAAGAACAACTCAGAGGAGGAAAAGTTTACTGGGTGTTCATGGTTTCAGAGGTCTCAGTGTATAGATGGCGGCCAGTTCTGCTACTCAGGGTGTAGAGGAGGAGAACAGCTCAGGACATGACAACCAGGAAACAGAAAGCTCTTGCTCACCAGGGACAAACATAAGCCAAAGGAATGCCCCCAGTGACCCAGGTCCTCCAGCCACTCCCCACCTACCTACATTTACCACCCGTTACCCTTAATTCTTATCAGAGGATCAACGCACTGATTAGGCTAAGGCTCTCATCACCTGACCATTGTACCTCTAACTTTCTTGTATTGTCTTGCACATGAGCTTTTGGGAGACACTTCATATCTAAACCATAACAACGAGTGAGTGACAGCTTCTCCCAGGGGATGGGGCCAGGAGCAGACTGACCCTATATGTAACATAGACAGGATCTCCCCTCCTAGGACTTTGTGCACCAAAGGAAACATGGGAAGACAGCAGGCACTCTTGTTTTCACACTCCTCTTCTTGCCAATGCCCCTTTCTCTTCCCTCCTGTGCTATTTTAAGAGGCAGTGAATCAAATTATTTCAGCAAGAATAGGCTTTCCTCCTAACGTTTCAAAAAGATTGATGTTCATATTAATTATGGACCAACTCTGTCTCCTCCGGCAGTCTTCTCGTTTTTTTTCCCCTTGCTGCAAATATCTTTATTCATTTTAAAGTCACCTCTTCATCAAGTCTCTCATTCTAGAAGTTTTCTGAAGATGAAGAATAACTTTTTCAAATCAGATATGATAACAGTACCATTTCACTTCCCTGCTGGTATACAACCTGCTACATAAATCACAAAGGCTGGACACATGCTTGTGAACATCTAGCTATTTGTTTACTTACTGTTGAGAAATATAGTTTCACAAGTTCCTCTGTGATACAGTGGAAGTCCCCGTCTCTGCAGTCTCCTTCTCTCCCAGGCCGTCTCTTCCTCTGCCCTGTGCCCCCAGGTACGCTTGCACTCATAGTTCTAAGACCTGCCATGTTCCTCTGGGCGCCCGTGACCTTGCCTTGCTGTTCCATCTGCCTGCAGTCACCTCTGTGTGCCATTCCTCTGCTCCTTCTTCACTTCTATTCATCTCCCCATGTTTGACTCTCCTCACCACTCCATTCAAGCCATGATTCTGAGTCTTTCCATGTCTTCTCTGATGGCCATTGCAAACCTTCGCCTTATTGGTTTGGTCAGACTTTATGTCCACCTGCTTCATTTACACACTTCTGGACTTTGCCACACCTAGCATTCATTATTCAACTTCTCAGATCTTGTATTTCAACCTGCTGCTCTCTAACTAGAACCCGTCCTGTCCTTGCAAGTGCCTTTCAATGACTTGCTGAGTAGCTAAATTCTCTACCCTTATCAAGATGTGTGGGCTACAAACTCCCACACTGGCTTGTTGCCTCTCAGCTTCCCTGTTCGTGTTCCTTTCTATGTGCAGAGTATACACCATGACCTTTCACTCCAATAACATCAGCTTTCCTCATTATGCTTTGTCACATTCGCTTGAAAAATTATTAACATGAAGTGATCCAGTGGACCAACTTCTGTGCTCCTTAACTTACATTCCTGAACATTGCTAAACCAAACTTTAGAGCTCTGAAGTTCAGTGCTTCATAGACTCAAGGTCACCACCGACGTAGACTAAGATCTCAGAGACTCCCAGAAAACTAATATACTTCTAGCTAACCTGGAAAGCTTTTATACAATGTAGTTCTAAATTTCCTACTATAAATGTAAATAAATAACCTCTACTCTTAAGCCCTCATTTCCCTTAGATATAGTCTTTTCCTTTCTCTTCAAGTTAAATTTATAAAAATGCATTCAAAACTAAAGTCAGGTGGCACTTGCCCATGTAGCTACTTGGGAGGTTGAGGCAGAAGGATCCATTGAGCTCAGGAGTTTGAGTCCAGTCTGGGCAACATAGTGAGACCATCTCTCACCCACATCACAATAAATAAATAAATAAATAAATAAATAAATAAATAAATAAATAGAAAAAGAAAGAAAGTAAAGGTCTAAAATTTTAAAAACAGAAAAGGTCTAAAATGAGTATGATTGGATGATTTTTTTCTCCTCCTTTTCTCTCTTTGAACTCTAAAATTTAAACTGAAGATCTTTTCCTTATCCACCAAGAATGACCTTTTGTCAAATTTGTGGACAAGCTTTCCCACTTAATTTTGATAATCCTGCAACACAGGATTAAGGTCTTTTCCAAGTTTTAACACCCAGCATAATGGGGATGTACCCAACTCTTTACCCTCTCCTACTCTTCACATGCAGAAGTGAAGTTCCCTCAAGTCTCCCTCATACTTCCTGTGCTCAGTGCCCTCCAGACCTGCTGCTACTCCGTTCTGGCATGATTGCCTATGATCTGCACGTGTCCTTTTCTTTACAGGTGCCTCTGACTCCAGCTTTAGTGTCCCACAGCCCTGCCAGTATGCACAGCCTGCCCTACACAGGGCAGCTAGCCATGTCCAGTGGGTCCCGTGATTCCCTGCTTGAAAGCAAACAAACCAACAACCCTATCTTCTCACTGACCTCATGGTGAAATCTAATCTCCTAAATATAATATTCAAAAAGCAACTCCAGCCTTCACACCCAGCCTAATTTCTCATCTCTTTCTTTATCACACCCACACTGTCCCTGTGTTATCCTGAGCACAATTGGGTCTCCATCAAATCTCCATCTTTCTCTTTCCCCAGGATCATTGCATTAAAAAAAAATCTGCATGAAATATTTCTTTACTTCAACCTGCCTCTTGTCCTTCATCTCCCAAACACCATGCTTCATTTTTCCACCTGGATGATTTCTCCTCAGCTTTTAGGTGTTCACTTAGGTTGTCTCATTCTGGGTCCTAGAACAGGTTTAAAAAAGCTTTAAGTGAATGAAATGACTATAATGTCCTTATATTCTCTGCTTATCCCCAGGACAGCTCTTCTCATATTCAGTAAGTAGCAAATTTAAGCTGTTAGGCAAGCAGCCAGTTCCTTGTACTGGTCATAGAGTATGACCTGGTTAATTATTCCTAGAGCCTCGTTTGGTGGTTGGACATAGTTGATACTAAAACATGTTTCTTGGATTGAATAGCTCAGAATGCAAGCTGATAAAGACTATTCATTGAAAGTAAATAAATGTATTTAGTATTTATATTGTTTATATAGTATTTTCATTCTTTATGATAATACTATTGACATACCCATGATAGCATTTGATTATCACAGCAACCTTGTTATGGAGAAGTTACAAATTTTAATGATGTCCAATTTATTATTTATCTTTTTGGCTAGCTTTATGTATAGTGTTTGCCCACTTCAAAGTTGGGAAACTCTCCTTCTAGATATTCTTCTAGAAGTGATTGCTCTTACATTTGGACCTAAGGTGAATTGTTGTAAACAGTGTTAGGGAAAAGATAAACTTTTCTCCCAGGGTTTGCCAAGTCATTCTAGTAGGAGTTTTGAAAACACTAACATTTTCCAATTGAATTGCCCTGGCATTTTTATCCAAAATGACTTCATCATAGAAGAAGGGTCTCTCTGTACCCTTTATTCTGTTACCTTGATCTATTTTTCTATCCATTTAGCTCAATCACATTGTCTTGACACTCTAACTTCACAGTCACAGTCAATTTCAAAATAAAAGAGTGTGAATCCTTCCATTCAGCCTTCCTTTTAAATATTGTTTTACGTAGTATAAATAGTGTAAATACTTTCCATTTCCAAATAAATTTTAGAATAGGCCATTTGTATAAAAAGGGCAGCTGAGGTTTTGGCTAGAATTGTGCTGAATCCATAGATATGTTAACAAAATGTTTTCTAACCCATGAAAATGGTATATCCCTCAATGTATGTATGTATTCTTTCATTTCTTTCAGCAATATTTTATAGTTTAAATTTAGAGGTTTTGGAAATCTTTGTAATTCCAAGAAATTTAATGTTTTTAATGCTATTGCAATCTTTTGGAATGATTTCTTCTTTGTTTGGTGCTTGAATATGGAAATACAGTTTAGTTTTTAATCATTTTCCCTATCCTTTGATCTTTCTAAATTTACTTATCAGTGCTAAAACATTCTTGTATATTTCTTTGTAAACAACCATGTTTCTGTGAATAAAGACAGTTTACTTCTTTCCTTCCAATGTTTATATTTCTATTTTTCTATGCTTAGAACACAGACTAGCACATCAGTTTGCTGTGGCAGGAGTTGCAGACCTTCTTGTCTCGCTTCTGAGCACGAGAGGGAGGTCAGTGTCTCACTACTGCACAGTTTACAGCTGCAGGTTTCTTTATGTATGTCCGTAATTTGAGTCACAATGATCTCTTCTCTGATTATTTTGCTGAAAGTTTCTTTTCTTTTTATTCCAGGGATTGAACCAAGGGGCTCTTAACTACTGAGCCACATTCCTGGCCCTTTTTTATATTTTATTTTGAAACAGAGTCTTGCTGAGTTGCTGAGGGCCTTGCTAAGTTGCTGAGGCTGACTTTGAACTTGTGATCTTCCTGCCCCAGCCTCTAGAGCAGCTGGAATGCACCACTGTGCCTGCCGAGAGTTTGTTTTCTAATCCTGCGTGAATGGTAAAAATTGTCAAATGATAGTTCTGCGTCTATTAAAATGTACATTTTGTTCTATAAATAGGATGATTTGTATTTACTCTCCTTTTAAAATGAAAACCAAGTCCTTCTTGTTCCTGGGATAAATCCCACTTGATTGTGATGCATTGTCTCACTGGGTTTTCGGATTTATTATCCTCCTAGACACAATGCTTGGATGTCTTAATCATAGTTATAAAGCAGAATTTAAATGTAATAAATTGAAGACTGTGAAATAGTGTTGGGGCTACAGTGAGTGAGGCTGGTGTAGGAGAAGGACTCAGAGGCACTCTATTCTCATTTTATATAGTGCTGAGGCACGGAATGTGATCTAATAGTGGACCTGAGCTAGAGGAAGTACAGGTGGTACATTGAAATCATAACTGGGAGATTTAAATGAACACAAATAAGAAACTGAATGGGGAAGAAGTACAATTAAATCATCCAAATATTTTAAAATTTAAATAAAGGCACAGTATTTGAATAATGTTAATAGCTTAAGAAATGGAGCCATTAGTTTATATATTAAAATAGTGAGAAAAACCACTAACAATTATTGAAAGACAGAAACAAACTATTGTAAGGGAAACTAAATGAGAAGTGAAACTTGGGGGGGCAAGAAATTGAGGTTAAAAATTTTAAATTTTCTTTTACCCTTGTTTAACGAATTTTTGATCATGTAAATATATTGGTTTTATTCAATTTAAATATTTAAAAATCACTTTTCCCCGAACACTTCTATATCATTCCTGATCACATTTTATCATTTTTTCATTTTAGTTATCATGACATTTTAGAGATAAATTTTCTTAAAAATAATCTTGAACATCTGCACATTTATCTCTGCAAAATCATAATCCCTCACAGATGTTTCTGTCTGGCTCTGGGCCCAGAGATATTAATGGAATTATAACGGAGAAGGTCTTGAGCAAATGTGTTTGTCAGTCTGACTGTGCTTTCGATCTTAAATTGTACTAAAGCCGATGATAGAGTGGCATTAAGTAAAACTGCTGTGGGGCCTCAGCAATTTATCTGAACATCTGGTTCACCCTATTCTCTTCTGTACTCTGCTTCAAAAGCCAAGTTTGTCCTTACAGCATATTATGCTATAACCCAAGATTAAACTGGTTTTGCAGAGAATTTTAAAACTATTTGCTTCCATATGTATTTGAATGCTAACCATTCCTTGGGCTCTTGTGCTCCCGATTGTCCTCTTGTTCCTATCTACTTGCATCTCCATTTTTAATCCTTCTCCCCACCTTGGCATAAGCAACAGAAATAGAAATTAATCACTCAATGGGTATTCCAACCATCATCAAAGACCAATGAGAATCAGATAGTTTATTTTCAACACTATTTTTGAGCCAGATTGAATTCTAACTTCTATCAATCTGTTGCCTAAGGTTTTGTTAGTATGCTCTTTTTGCAGTGGTCTGTTAAAAGAAGACACCTGCAGTTGGGTGGTGGTTTAAGGTTCCCCACAAACTCAAATGCTCCTCAGAGGTGGCTGGGTGACATCCCATGAGGTCATGTCCCAAGCCACAGTCTTTCAGAACAGCCTGTTCCTATTGTTGAAGCTGAAATAGGGGAGTTCAGAAAAGAGGTTGGGCACTGGCTCTTTGTACATTTCTCCTGTGGTTCTATCCTTTCCCAACAGAGCAAGCTCTTTAAGAACAGGAATGGATTCTGACTCTTCCTTGAGATTCTTTAATTATCTTGAGCATAGGACACTTCCTGGAAACATTATCACTGATTCATCTGTCATAACTAGGGTTCTCATTGATTTCTAGATTGGCTTGTTTAGTGTGTTATAAAAATTGTTTCCATTGTGTTAAAAAAAATTGTGGATTTCTAGCTTCCATT